AAGCATTTATTTTAATCAAATAGTAGTTTGTTTGTTTTTTACCAGACCTGAAAAAACTGATACTAAAAAGAAACAAATTAAGGAAGCTGCAAAACAAAACAAAAACAAAGAAATTGTTATTATATTATGTTATTATTCCAGTTTACTCTCACCAAAGCCATCCTGGTCCTAAACAACTTTTACCTGTGTATAAAATCACAGCAGAAATAAACTGTGACCTGCTACAAGCAGGTGGTTGACAAACTGTCATGGTGGCTAAATCCATCTTTCATATACATTCTCTAACCTCCAAGGACCTGACATCCACATATGTGGAAAATACATTTTGGGTTGTCGACACCAAAATACCCAATTTTGCTCTACAAGGGCCAGAGATCCACTTACGAGGACATTATACTGCCGCTGTTCTATCGAAATTTAAAACGAATGTCCTCTTATGTGGATCTCATTTTTCTCAGAAACAAGAATCAGGTATAAAAAAAAATAATCAGGTAATTCTTTGTTTTTACATTCATCAGGTCCCAATCAGTCTAAATAAGGCTCACATATCATTCACTCACACTGAGAGTAACTAAATACGTATTACTATATAATATTAATAATATTACATTATTATTTTTCTGAGATATTGCATTTGCACATATGTGTTCTTATTTAAAATTGGTTTTATATTTATGTTTTAATATGTGGGGATAGGTTAATTGGATAATCCAAATTGCCACTAGGTGTGAATGTGCGAGTGAAAGTGAGTGCGAATGGTTGTCTGCCCCTGTGTGACTGGCGACCTGTCCAGGGTGTACCCCGCCTCTTGCCCTATGACAGCAGGGATAGGCTCCTGACAAGGATAAGCGGAAGCGAATTGATGGATGGATGGATGGATGGATGGATGGATGGATGGATTTATGTTTTATTGAACAATGTTAATGTATTTTTTATAGTGTTGCTGTAAAATAATATGTCACTAGAAGGATTATACTATTTAAATAAATAAAATGTAAGAATATTTTGATGTGTTTCAAGGAAATGAACGGTCAAAAGAAGTACATAACATGTGTTTTCTCAATAAAAATACTCCAAGTCTGGAAACACATTTCTTCAGTGTCTGCATTGAAAGGCAATTTATTCTCCGATGTAGCTGTTGGAACTACAGGACCTGTTATCATACTGTAGAACTACAATACAACACAAGTGTGTGTGTGTGTGTGTGTGTGTGTGTGTGTGTGTGTGTGTGTGTGTGTGTGTGTGTGCGTG